GGAATCGAGAGGGGATTTTGGTTGTGACCCTAACTATAGGAATGTTTGACTAAGTAAACAGTAAGAGTAGGAATACAAATTACAGTAGGAGTGTTAATTCGTACAAATTACTCAAAAAGGGTTCCTGGTGTTAAGTGGCAAATACATAATACGGAGGGGTTTGATAATCGTCAATGATCAGGAGATTAAAATTCTAAATACTATGTTCGGACTCTAACAATGAGAATGTTGAGTGTACAGACGTAACGGAAGTTTGTGTGGGAGTTTCTTATTCATCAACTTCTTGTAGTGACCGGGTTATCCCTAAAAATACACTATGTAGAATTTTTCCGAAAACTTCTCGTTACATGAATTATCCATCCCTAATTTTTTTACAAAACTGGGTCTAATATTAAACTCAGTTGGATGACCGGGTTATTCTTAAGAATATTATGTATAAAATTCTCCAAGAACTTCCCGTCGAAGGTAGGAAACAGTTTAAACTCATATACCTATTGGAGTACCGGATAGCAGTTTAACCTCATATACCGGTTGGAGGATTGAGAAGCAGTTTATACTCATATACTCTTCGGAGTGTTCGTTCGACTTAATTGAGCGTTATGACGCCGGCTTCAACTAATGTTTAGATGCTATTCTTGAGAGTGAAGCAAGCCTTGGTAGGATGAAGGATCCTCCTATAGTACACACAGTACTTCAGATCCACAGTATTGTCCGCTTCCTCCTGATCTGCGATAGGTGGTAGCTTGATCTTGTTATTTTTAAAAAAGGACTCGAAAATGACTGGAACGTCTTCGTCCTTGAAGGAGTACTCCTTTTGGAGTATTGGATCCGAAATCTTTTGCTGTTTTTGGAGTTGTTGTTGTGACGTCTGATTAACGTTAACAACTGCTGTAGGTGCCTTGTCCTTACCACGGGAGGCGAAGTTCGAGTTCGGAGGATTAGCCGTCGGTTGGCTCCTCTCGGCCTTCTTCCTTCGGAGGAAGCGTTCGGCCTGTTTTCCGTGCACTTTCAACTCTTTTCAGGTGTTGGATGGTGCTACTCCTATAATTTCTAACACGTCCAAAGAGAGGTTATTGTGGCATGTTTGGAGGATAAAGTCCTCTGTGATCGGATCTCGGCAGTTCATCGCCTTATTCCGGAAGCGCTTGATGAAATCGTCGACCGTTTCTCCGTCCTCTTGTTTCTCCTCAAAGAATATCCTGATGGATATCTCGGCGTCGTCATCAAAGAAGTTACCGAGAAACGAGCTCTCCATATCGTCCCCGCTGTTAATATTTCTAGGCTTGAGACGGCGATACCAATCAAAAGCAGGCCTGCGAAGGGTGTCAACGAATGACCGAACCATCAAGGATTCGTTGTCAGAAATCATGCCTAAGTGGGATTTGAAATAGATCAAATGTTGAGTGGGCGAGCCCTTCCCTTCGAACGGCGTGAAGTTGATCAGGTTGAACTTTACCGGAAACGGGATCGAATCCCACTCTCTTGGGTAAGGACACGGAATCCCGGTCTTCTTCACCTCTCGAGCAGATATCAGAGCGTCGATTTTGCTCTCGAGATCCTTCATCTTTTCGTCCTCGTCTATATCCTGTTTTGGATAATTTCCGAGAGGAATAATACGGCCACCCCCAGCATTGTCATCTCCGGTAGGACCACCCCTAGCGTTTTGGTCAACAGGAGGGTTCTCAGCATTGATACGTTCATCCACATCTGAATTGTTACCTGCTTGGTTAGTAAGGTTGCGATGGCTGGATTCACCGAATTGATTGGACAAATCCCGAATTTGTTGGTCAAGCTCTTCCTTCATCCGTATCATGATCATTTCCAATTCGAACTTAAAGTTCTCTTTTTGCCTAGCCAAAGCGTCCTCGATGATTTTGGTCATTTGTTCAGCGTTGATCATGAACGCCTCACGAGATCGTCCTATGCTGGACATCGTATTGTCAGAAACGATGGCAGAGTTCGCATCTGATGCTTCATTATCTGAGGATAATCCGCTATTCATCCTCTGATAGTCCCTACGCCTAGTAGTTCCCGCACGCAACCGAGTTATACGTTGGGATACGTCCGAAAAATAACGGGGACTAAAACTTCGCGTTGACTTCCATTTATCGACCATATTGATGGTGACCTCTGGGAGTTCATCATCTTACGTAACTAATTTTTTCTATAGAAACGCTTTGGCTTGGACTTGGACGTTCTGGTGGAGATCTTTTTAAATACCGAGGCTCTCTGTGGAGCAGTCTTGGGGCAGCTACACGTTGATAATACTGTCCTGATAAGTTTGATACATGGACAATGAAAGTCCGCTTCCCGGATACTTCTCTTTCGAGATTTATTAGTACCCCTAGTCTGATAGTACAACTCATCGATGTTGCAGTCAGAATAACCTATCGGCTGTTAGTTTGATTCCTCAAGTGGAACGCTGTTTCGGCGTGTCTTCTGAATAGGTAGTGCTTTATTAGCTTTAGCATGAGTCACACGTTTGGAATCACACCCGTGTGAGGGTAAAATTTTAACGGGCTCCTGGTTTTGTGCAGGCACCTCCCCGTGGGTAATTACGGGAATCAACTTATTAGGAGGTCGCGTACGACCCCCAATCCGGATGGTTGCTCGGGGTTCCTTCAACGGTCTCAAGCGTTCCTTAACAGACGCTTTGTCTTGATCTTCGTGTAAAGGATCCAGACGAGCCTTCAACGGAATTCTAAATTTGGAGAGATCCACGCAGTCGTTGGGCTTCACCGAAGGTGTGGGAGCAATAGGAGCGGGATCCGAAGTTGACGAAGGCTGAGGAGCAACGTTGCTTGCTTTGGCCTTAGGCGTTGATTTGACCTTTGGCATCCAAATTTGTTTGGATCTTGGCGATCTCTTAATCGCCTCTTCCTTTTGTATTTTTTGTGCTTTTCGCGTAAGGATCTGGGTATGCGCAAGAAGTGCGCGACGCTTCTGAATACGCTTCTCAAGAGTGGAACTGTTCCTTTTGACACGAACCCATTCGTTAGTAGGTGGTTGGGAGGAGGTTTGCGAAGCTTGCTGTGGAAGTGACTTAGCTACTTAGCGCTTTCTGAACTCCAGATCCGCTTGGTAACGGAGTCCGTCCATCTGATCCAAAGCCTTGGCGAATTGACGCGTGAGACGTTGGCATTGCCTTTGACGTGCTCTCCTTGATAGAGTTGATGCGCCTTCAGCAGTTAACTCATTGATCGCGGAGGAGTTCAGATATGCAGATCTGATCTCATTGGACACCGGCGGATCGTTGTGAGGTGCGGTTGCAGCAACGGTAGTAGGGAATTCGCCTTCTTGAGTCTTCAGATCTAAAGGTCAGCGGATCTTTCGGGCGAAGGAGACCCTCCTGTGCTTACGAGGAGAGGCAGATCTGGAGGAGGAGGAGGAGACGTACTCCTCGAACTTCTGTTGGTCGAACTCGTATTCGACCTCTTCAGCCACGAGGATCTTGATCGTCGGCTGCGGCACGACAGCCTCGGTGACGAGACTGTTGGCTCCCACTATGGTCGTCAGCTTGTTTGGGTGGAAAATCGATTTCTTCATTGTATAACTTATTACAACTTTAGTCTTACAACAAGTTTAAAAAAAGATCGGTTTTTTTATAAGACCTTTACACAATGAAATTAAAATTACAATCTCCTTCAAACAAACGCAACGGGTGTTTATCGCCTGTTGCTTGCGTGGAATCTTTGCCTGTGATGGGGACGTTGATATCCGTGGACCACCAAATAATCAGATCAGATCCGGAGCTTCGTTGATTCGCGAAGGAATCAAAAAACCGAAGCAATTATCTCGGTAACAGCGAGATAACCACTCTTCTCGAGATCACCGCAACGGGGCAATCTCAAGGGAAGGAATCGGGCTGCAGATCTGACGAACTCCTCTTCTTTATGCCGAAGAATTCGCTGATATCTCCTCCTCTCTGAAATTCATGACTCTTTAGTTTTCAGTTCGGCAGGGCTTCGCCAACGCTCGAGAATTCCAGATCTGAAAAAATAAAGGCCATGGGGCTGTATTTATAGGCTTCAGGAGCCCTGTTTTCGGATAAGAACGGCTGATTCCCTCTTATCCTCAGTTGTAACCACTTAATCACATTCATGAATGATATTAGATCAGTTGAAACAAATCCAGGCGGTTCGGTCGAAAAACGGCTTTAAACTGCCAAAATCTGATTTTCGGGTCTGCGGACACCCATGGGTGTCTCGGCCTGGCCCTTAGCTGAGACACCATGGGGTGTCTCGGCCTGGCCGAGACACCTCTGGGTGTCTCGCCGAGGCCCGGAACGTAGTTCTGAGCGTCTTGTCCGTTTCAGCTGTATCTTCGTCGTCCGAACTCGGAATCGTGCGATTCAAGATGCGTCGGAAAGCCGTCGAGAAGATCTACAAGCTCCCATGATTGAACCATCTGTGGAGTGGACGGGACATGGGGGTGTTTCGTCTTTTGTAAGTGACACGGCGCTCCCGATCAGTTCGTGTTTTCGTTATTTCGAAGTTTCGTTGCTTCGCATGGTTCGTTGACTCACTTCATGCGCTTGTCAATGTCGATTAAGCTTCTGTGACTCGGATAGTGACGTTCATCGTCTTCTCTGTGCCTCGAGCTGCGTGTGAGGGCCCATAGGTAATTTTAGACGCCTACACAGTGTAGTGCGAAGACAAAGGGGTGACACTGGGATTGCTATGTTTCATCGGGACTAAGACTAGTGCAAAGCCAGACTGCACAAGCATCCAAATTATGGAAGCGTAGTGGTACTTTGGTGTCCATTTAGTGCCAAATTAACTAAACGAGGAGTCCATTGTGGATTTATGAGAGATTTGGGTTCCTTCCCTCTTACAACTAACTTTTAGGGAAAGTTCTCCTAGGTCTCTTGTGTAGCGACAACTGACGAATCAATGAAGATTTGCCTCATTCTAGTAGTTAGATTCTAGTAGTCCCTTTCCCTTTACCTAACTCCCGTAAGATTCTAGTAGTACCTCAGTTGACTTTTGATAACCCTGCAGGTAGGTGCAGGGATCCTCGCTATTCCTGCAGTCACAGACGAAGCTGGATTCCTTGCCTCTGCTATAGTGTGCATACTTTGCTGGATATATATGGTAACCGATTTCTCCATGTGTTCTACAAAGTTCAAGATACTAGTAATTTAAAAATTTTCCAGGGAGGAGGTAATAATATTACCTTATTCTTTGAATTCGAATAGTAAATTATGTTTCAGCCTTACCTCCAAAAAAGATTTATGTTTAAGCAAATAGCACTAGGACTTCTTAGGCTGCCTTATACATTTCAGGTAGTGACAGGATTGTTGATTGCAGAAGTTAATGTCAATACAATGTGTGAGCTTGGTTCCGGAGGTGTCTCCCTGGTAATGAAATTAGTTCTTTGGAATATCTATTTGTTACATTTTATTTCATCATTTTCTTGATTTCATAATTGTTCTGGTAGTGACTTGGACTATGCAGTCACAATGGAATCCTTGGCCACTTTGCGATCATATTAAATATGCATCTGTTATTTCTTCTTTCATTAACCGGTAGATAAAAAATAGTATTTCTTCTAACATTGATAATAGTCCATAATGGACCTCTCATCTAATTATAATTGGGATTACTTATCATGCAGGAAAATTGTACTGTAATAAACGGTATATTTACTGAATACACTTAAAAGTGTTACGGAATTGTTAAACATAATATATACATGACTAAATCTGCAATGAAAAATATGACCTTTTCTCATTCTGTGGCAAAATCCTTCTTTTGTGTTATATCATATGAGACCTTTCCCTCCCAAATAATAAGATCATCAAATTTGTATGATGTTAAACATTGAAATAAAACTTCCTTACTACAGAAACATAATTTGAATCACAAAACACACTTGGACCGAAGCATAGACTAAATGTGAAGACACATAGAAATGCATACATATGCATGTGCATATAGATACATGCATGCATATAGATATTTTTATTGGCGAGAGAGAATTAAGGATGCCGAAAGTAGAAGCCTGTTACTATATAACTGTCGTTTTGTGATATTTCAGGTGTCAATGGCGATGAGAACCATTGGGAAAACTGGAGTCCAGGTTGCTTGGTAAGCATTTATGTTGTAAGTCTCCGCACTAGACATTTTCTTGAAAAATAGTCTTGTTTAGTGGTTCAATGCAAGAGAAGTGAAGGTTTTGATGGCTTTAAATCTGTGATAAGCAAACATTGATCCTACTAATATATATAAATGGATAAGAGCCTCTGCCATGATTGTATCACGATATAAGAATGGTTCTTCCACTATTGTATTTCACTGCTTATAATGTATCAAGTTACCTCTAACGGACACACAATCTGTCTTTTTTATCTTTTCTCATCTAGTGACAATGGCTAGACTCATAGGTATTATAACAAAAACAAACAAATTGATTAAGAACAATCAGATAAAACATAATAGGAAGAATAGTTACACATACATGGTTTACTGTCAAATTGTGAACAGAGATTTCTAATCGCATTGTAAGGTATAAGAGGTTAAATATCTCCAAAGCCTCACCCCAAATAAACCCCATATATTAAATGCAGAAATGTGGTTGCCTCTCATATAATATATATCCTATAGCAAATTGGAATTCAGTGCACACTCTATGCGGGAAATTACAAATAAAGAACAGATCATATCTCTGGTTTAACTTTTTTCTGTCTTAACTCTCGAGTATGTCAAATCATGAATTTTTATGTGGCTTTTCCTTGTGTATTTTCATAGGACATCTAGAGATTTATGAGCTAATCATATTATTATATTAATCAGCGTATATTACTGAAAACTATATCATAGCTGTTATCTTGATTCAATTTTGTTTCTTTACATATGGTTCATCAGCTCCTTCTGACTTCTTTACTTCTCTGTTGCAGCTGGTCATATTTATTTATACATTACGCCCTTCTTGTTGCTTATGTTGCTCGCTCTTCAGACATTTTAACAAATTCCTTTGGCATTCCATTGTATGACCCGTGACTCTTACTTCTTCTCTTTCTTATTTTAGTTAGGGCTGCTTTTCTACTTTCATGTTACGACATTATATATATCTGCCCCCATAGATGTTGTTTATAGTTGACTTTGATGGTTCATAATCACCAAACTTCTCACTTTATCCCCAGGATGGGCTAATATATCTTTAATCTATCATGACACCACTCATTGAACCTGCAGAAAGGAGAAGTAATAGGATGTGCTAAAATTGAACAATGAGTGCATAAGTTAGCTCAAGCAAACTTTAACTGAATTATTAAAAAGGATTTGCTAGTCATTAATTTGACTGAGGAAATAACTCTTAATAAAACTGAATGGAAGAAAGCACTCAAGTAACTGGTCCAAAATTTTGAAATGAAGGCTTTGTTGGTGTTGGTATTTCACAAAGCTATTTTCTGATACCACTATTAGTTTAGATATAGAGTCTAAATCCCAACCCTTATTGAGTATTCATGAAGTTAATGAATTTTCTTTTATTTTTGAGAATCTTTCTGGTCAGTTTTAATAATGGTAAAGTAAATACAAGTTCCATTCTGTTGATTAAAGTTCTCCTCTGTTCGACTGTTGAGGATAACCAGTTTGACTTTAAGGGTCAACTTCTCTATCATATGGTATCTTTCTGTTAAATCTTTGTTTATATCAGGATGTAGGAAGTGGTAAAGTGAAGCATTATTAATAGGCAGAGACAACCTTTGTCCCTCAAGTTAAAGCTTTTGGATCAGATGCATATCTGTTGGTAAATTCTCCAATAAGAACTACTTTGGATGAAGAATGTACCAAGAGTTAGTGCTTGCTCAATATGCTCACACACAAATTGAGATTGTTGAGTCTATGAATTGCACCATGACCAAATAGTTCAATATTTTGGATGAAAAATGTCATTGTCAACGATAAATGCATCATAATATGGAGGACAAATGGTCCTTGTCAATGATCGATGCATCACTATGGAATTCGCTAATTTGCCTTCCCCGCAATAGTCTCGTTGTTGCCACTTAAGTCATGAAGTTTGTGCCATATAAATGTCTCTCCAGTTTCTATAGTTAGACATGTAATTTGTAACACAGGGACTCTAATCAATTATCCGTTATTGGATTTTCTTTTGTCACTACTGATGCAGATGGGAGAGTGCCACTCTTTTTACAATGTTTTTTGGAGGCATATGCTATTTTGGAAGGTTAGCTTTTTGCAGTTTATTAGTTCTCTTGGGAAATTGTTGGTATTTACATATGTGGAAGTATCCATCTCTTTTATTTCTAACAAGATAAGTTTTCTTTTTTATATCTGAAGTCAATTTGATTCTATTAGTCTTTGGGTATGGTGACCTTAAGCTATTTATCTAATTGATGAACAGGATATGAGAATGAAAGCTAAATTTTTATAATGTAAATTAAAAAATTCCTGAGTTATCTATTTTAGGATATATTTTTCCATCCTACCTAAGAAAGGTCAAGGAAAGTATCAGTTGAAATATAGTTTTACCCGCTGTCAGTGTTAGGGATGATAGCATGTGGGTGGGGTGCGTGTGCATAGGCATGTCGGTATGTGTGCATGAATGTGTGTATGTTTATCAACTTAAATGAAGTAAACTGACTTTGAAGTGAACTGATATTGCAGCCAGCGAATTATTGGCGTGATAAATGGTCTTCTGGTATTTGGTATTCTCGTGTCTTTTGCAGCCCTTGTGGTAATTTCTCTTTGAGAAGATGCTTACTTCCATTTCCTGTTTTGTCATACATGTATACATAGAAGAATACAAGCTTGCATGGGCGCACATTCAGACACCCATGAACGACTGCGATTATCTTTTCATAAGAGCAACTGTGTGTTACACATTTGCCAAGTATAGTAATGTTGTTTTTATAAACGTAGTTCAATTCTTCTACCAAGAAAGCCTAGATTTTACTTGCAAAAATTATCAAATTATTCTCATATGTCAATACACATTGGTTATCACATTTGCATTGCTATAGGAAGATGTCGCAAATTAAAATTTCCAAAGTCTGCTGACAAGGAAAAATAAAAACACCAGTTCATGCAAGTAAAAGCTAAGGCCGTTTGATTAGTTGGTCAAAAATAATTAAATACAAATAAATCCTGTGAAATGAAATGAAAATGCTTGAATCACCTGTGGGATCATAGATGTAAAAGCTACGAATGGCACTGTAACTGTCATGCCTATATCAAGGATTGTGCAAGCGTATGCTCAATGCTGTGTGGACCTACAGATACAGAAAATCTGTTCCATTCATGGGATATTTAGAAAGTCATTCATTTGTCTCGACATAAACCATATACTCTAGTTTTGTTCAAATATTTAAGTACACTTTCTGGAAGAAAAAAAAAGTTCTATTTCTTTGAGTCCAACGAGAAGACTCATAACATATTTCTTTATGTTATATTTATTTGATTTCAGTTAGAAGAGTCATAAGTCATAACATGTCTCTTTATGCTTAATGCCCTTGAAGTTATACTCATTATTTGCAATATGGCTCTGTTAATGAAGGTTTGAGTTTCTTCCCAAATTTTGTGGATTTCCTTCCGTAATTGGTGCATTGGTACTAGATTTCTGCTTCTATCTTTGGTTGGTCAGTGCATAGAAAAGAATTATGAAATGTTCTCTGGTCACGTTTGAAAAAGCACATGCCCTTAGTCATCCATCTTAAGCTCATCCGCGGACAGCTACCAATCCTCTCACAAAAAAAAGGAGGCAAAAAGAGATAAATTTTACAAAAGAAAAGGCTCAACTCTTTGAATGTAAATGTTGATTTATTTTTCAAAGCTCAGGGCTATAGGAAGTGGTTTGGCATATTTTGTTTTGCTCCTTCCTTCATTAATTCTACATGCACTTCTAATGTTTCTATGCATTGCATAGTGCTTACCATTTGCCTTCATAACTAGATCGAAGGCATGCTGTCTCTACGTAAAAATCAACCTTTTGTATTATCCAGGATATTCATTAATAGAATGTCATTTGATCATCTCATACTCCCTAGAAACATGCTTACTTATCTTGAAGTACATAAGATTGCCTTTTTGTTATCAATTATATTATATTTTTTTGTAGCGTGTACTAGTTTTATGTCTAGTAATATAGTTGTCTGTGTCCCTAGGGAGTAGCAAGTGGGAACCTGCAATGGAATTCTCTTCTTCAAGCGCATTTTGAAGCGGTTCCAAAAAGTATACCCATTATAGCTCTTTCTTTCGTTTACCAGGTAAAAGAAAACTTACGCTCATATGCCATTTTTTAATATTTGAAACTCTACTCATTTTTCTGTACTTCAGAATGTAGTTCCAGTTCTTTGCACAAACCTTGAGGGGAATTTGTCAAAAGTAAGGTGAGAAATATCTGTGTACCTCATATGTGAACAAATCACTTTTTCCTATGTTCAGAATAATTTTTATGCAAACTTTTATTATGAATCTCAAGATAATTAAAGCCTTATTACCAAAAAAGAAACTATATTCAGAAATTAAAAAAATTTATTTTATTTAACTCATTATAATTTGTATCTGCAGGACTTCCATTGTCCTTGGAACAGCTATTCCACTTATTCTATTTCTTGTATGGGATGCTGTAATTCTTGGAACCATTTCAAGTCTTCACACAAACAGTGGCAGAGTCATTGACCCTTTAGAACTGTTAAGATCAAACAACGGAATAGTTGGAGTAAGTTTATCATTATTAAGTCTTGGTTCATTTCCCTTCGAGCTGACTTCTATATCAATGAAATTAAACTGATGGTTGAATATTTCCGTAATGTGCAGCCAATTGTTGAGTTGTTCTCATTCCTTGCGATAGGCACATCATACATTGGATTTGTTTTAGGGCTTTCAGACTTTGTTTCTGACTGTAAGTAGCTCCTCTTTCTTTAGTTATATAATAAATTATCAATAAATGCTTGCCTATATATAGCTTCGATATTTTATTTACATTTTTCTTCCGTTCTTGCTTCCCTTTGAGGTAATTGCAGTGCTTAAGTTACCAAGTGGTCAGAGCAAACCTTTGCCATTTCTATTGACTTTGGTTCCTCCTCTGGTATTATCGTTGCTTGATCCAGAGATTTTCTTCAAAGCCTTAGATTTTGCCGGAACTTACGGAGGTAACACATCTGTTATGTTTTTAAGTAGACACATCATGCAAAGCATTAAAATTGATGAATATAACACAAAAATTTACCTCAAATATTTTCACAGATTTTAGCGGTGATATTTTAGGGTCTCCGATGGTTCGTACTATTTTACCTGTACTCTATTTAAAGAAAGAAACTAAGCCTTTAGCATGAACTGTAGGACTTGAAAAATTCTGGAAAGTTGCATACTTGACACCTTGTCCTTTGGAGCTCAGGATCTATGTATGCTTCCGAGTATTATCTGCCATAATATTGTATAATTTATTTTAGTTCACATTTCGCAGTTTGCTCTACTGATTTTTGAGGAAATAGAGAATACACTTAATCTATTGACATCCCACCCCCAAACCCCACCCCCAAAGTGAAATCGCTGAAAGTATCATCTTATACATAATAATGTGCTGTGCTCATAAAATGAGACATCGGCGTGAAATGTCAAATATTATATATATATATTCATATATATATATATATATATATATATATATATATATATATTATATAAATAATAATATATATATATATATTATGTGTGTGTGGGATGTGTGTGTGTGAACTTATGTCAACTTAAGTGGACAGAGGCCTGTCCACCAAACTTTTCTATCACATATATATATATATATTAGTATATATATATAATTATATATAGATATAGAGAGAGAGAAGAGAGGAGAGAGCGAGCAGAGAGAGAGAGAGAAATGGGTATTACTGTTACCAAGCACAAATTTTATGCTGGAAGTGACATGTCTCATTCCCACCACTGCATTCAATTAAGGGTATAGCCACCTTCACTACGCAAGCCATAAATTGTTGTGCTTGGCTAACCAATGCATACTCATATTCCTCATATATTATATATATATATATTATATATAGTATAATTTAATTATATATATATAGAGAGAGAGAGAGAACGAGAGAGAGAGAGTCGAGAGAGAGACGAAAGAGAGCAGAGCAAATGGGGTATGCTTGTATTCAAGTACAAAAAGTTATGCTGGTAGTGAGGTGACATAATCCGCTTCACTTATTCAAATTGGTGGCATATCCCCATAATACTCAACCAATGTGAATGCTGGTCCCCGATCTTGATGAGTGCGAAGAGGATTGTGTCACTCACTATCAAGCATAAAAGTTGTGCTTCGGTACCAAACGTACCTTATATATAGATATAAAAAGTCTCTATATTTGCATGGCATCTCTAGATATGCATTAATTGAGAGCGCAAAGTTTGGTGGAGCTATATATATTTATATATATATATATATATATATATAGTATATAGTTAAAGTCTCTTCATATCTTGTTATTTGGATCTCCTTTAGCATATCCATCAAGCGAAGAAGTTTGGGGATATCCACTTAAGTTGACATAAGAAGTTCTCTTCTCTCCTGTATATATTATATAGATAAATATATATATTATATATATATATATATAAATATATATATAATATATAATATATATTAATTTATATATATATATATATATAGAGAGAGAGCAGAGAGAGAGATATTAATGGGTTCCTATGTCAAGGAGAAGATTTTCCTCCTTGACAAGATACATATTAATCTCATATATATATATATATTATAGAGAATGAGAGAGGATAATGGTGTATGCGATTCCTTCCTTTACGCCTCCTAACAATCACCATGATTGAGCGACATTATGGATGATCGCTCGCTTGAATTGATTCTACATATTCTAAAATCCAAACACACCAAGTTTGGTGAAACCGTCGCTCGGTTTGACCCTTCAATCACACTGCATATCAAATATTTAACGCTTTTGAATTGAATAAGAACTTTTCACATGGCTCGCATGGAGGTCAAAGCGACGACGGATTCACCCCCAAACTTGGCCCCTTCACTCTGTGTTTGGGTTTTTAAATATGTAGATCAAGTTCAACCGAAGCGATCATTCCATAATGTCGCTCAATCTATGTGATTTGTTAGAGCGTCAAGGAGAAATCCCCTCCTATACAAGGCATACACCATTAATCTCATATATATATATATATATATATATATATATATATATATACTAGTTGAGATGCACGTGCAATGCACGTGGTTGAATATTATGATTATTTAAATTGATAAAAATAGAATAAAAATAAAAAATAAAATAATATTTTTTGTGAGATTGATAGAAGTAAAACTTTAAATAAACTTTTACAAAATAAAAGTAAAATTGTAAATTACAAACACCTTAAAAATATTACAAAGAAGCAGTTAAGGAGCAACACTTGTACTTGAAGAATTGATTAACTTTTATTCTTTAAAAAATATTACAAAGAATAATATCATTAATGTATGGTTCAACATTCTTCGTATCATAGAAGTAAAACTGAAAGTATAAAGAATTATTTTCTTACGAAATTAGAACAAGGAGATTATGATATATTTCACCACGTGCTCTAAATATAAAAAATTCTTTTTTCTTTAATACAAGGTCCCTATCATACCTTACTCCAAACGATATGAATAAAAAATGCTATTATAACTCACTTACCTAGAGTAATTGTATTGTATATATGACATATAACTCATCTGGAATATCCACATCTGCTAAGTGGATTTTGTTGTTGTGAGAGAAAAATATTAGAGGCTCGTATTCAAACTTTTTAGCTTTATAAAAAATACAAGAATTTAGAGTGCATAGTTTATATATTGAAAAGAACATACTAGTTCATGAAGAATTTTCCCTAATAACGATATTATTACAATGATATTACTATTCAGTATTAAATCAATTTTATTATATAAGATTATATAACCCTTTTTAATAAATTATAAAGTGTATGTATATATATATGGAAACCTCGATGCTTATAGCCAGTAGTTGGGCTCCACAAAATTGGTTAACTTTACATTATAGTTACTAATTTGATACACGTAACTATAGAATAAATCTCAAGCAAAAAATAAGAATTGAGATTATATTATCCTGTAGGTAAATAAATAAATATTATTAGAGCTTCTCTTTATATTAAATTTAAAAGTAATAATTTAAATTATTAAGCGTTAAATATTAGTTCATGTGAGAAAGTAAAGTAATCTATGGTCTATATACCCTATTTAGTCAGCCATTCGAACGTATTATTATTATTGATGACCACAGTTAAAATTATATGGTGGGTTCACATTAAATATAACTTATAAAAAATAATATATTAAAGTCAAAAAAATTTTAACCACTATGTAGATTGTCTAAAAATGTTTGCATACATAAACTATATTGTTTAGGAATAGTGATGTGCACTTAACCATGACCTAATACATCTTAAAAACGACTTACTCTTTATTATCATCATTAATTGACGTATCTATGCATTACACGGGAAACATAATGAAAATTTAGAATACTACAAAAGAAACCCTCAAAAGTTTTTAAAAATTATGAAAAAAACACCCTAAAATTTTATAATTTACAAATACACAAAACTATTAAACATTACATTATAATCAAGAAACTGCAAAATATCATTAAAAATTTCAAACTTTAGGGATAATTTGCAATGTACTAAACCTTAAGCGTGTTTTTTTGTAAATTTTAAAATTTAATAGATTTTCAAATTAGTTATGTTCTTTTCAAAAAAGTTATGGATAATATTGATCATGAAAAGATTTTTCTAAACCTATACTTTTAAAGGGAGTATGATATTTTTTGCAAATTTTTAATTTTATAGGGATTGTTAGTAGTTAGTAATTTTGTATATTCAGTTTAGTGTCTATAGATTAGAAATTCTCTTGGTGTTTTTTTAAAATTATAAATTTTAGGGATTTTTTATAATTTTTTAAACTTATTGGTCTTTTCTATAGACTGTAAATTATTTATAGACTATTTATAATTCCTATGTTTTCAATTTACTAATGAGTTTGAAATTCTCAGGGTGTTTTCTGTAAAAGTTGAATTTTGAATTTTTGTTTGTAATTTGAAAATTTTAAGGGTGTTTTCTATAAATTATAAATTATGTAGGGGATATTAGCAATTCCTACATTTTCAATGTACTTTTTGGTTAAAAATTATCAGGATTTTTATAAATTTTATAATTTTGAGGGTTTTATTTTGCAATTTGTAAAAAGTTTAGAGTGTTTATTGCAAATTCTATAAATATTTGGTGGTTGTTTGTGTTATTTGTAGGTTTTTAGTGTGCTTATAGGTTTAAAATTTTCAAGGTGTTTTTTAGAAATTTTAAATTTTTAGGGGTGTTTTTGTAATTTTTAAAACTTACAAGATACTTTCTCCAAAATAAAAAAACTTTTAGTTTCTAGGTAGCATATATTTTCCAAATTTCTCACTAAATTTAGATAAGTAAAATTTATAAATTTCGAGATGTTTTAATAAAATTTTGAATTTGTAGAGGTGTTTTTACAATTTAAAAAACTTGGAGGATATTTTCTATAAAGTCTAAAAACTTTTAGGTGTTTGCTAGCATATGTTATTTAGATTTCTCAAACAAGTAAAGAAATTATATCAAACATATATCATTTATCCAATAACATGTTAAGTCTCATTATGAATAGGATATATCATTTAATTATCAATTCAAAAAAAGATAGGATAATTAGAATAGATTAGGATAACAATGTAATATTCAAAAAAAAAGGTTAAGGGTAATACATGGAAAAAAAATTCCATTTGAATTATATCAAACGTATCTCCTTTATCCAATAACATATTAAGTCTCATTATGAATATGATAAATCATTTAATTACAAATTCAAAGAAGACAGATACTTAGAATAGATTAGGATAACACTGTAAAGTTTAAAAAATTAAGGGTAATATTGACTATGAAAATATTTTTCCGAACTCGTACTTTTAAAGGGAGTATATGATATATATATATACTTGCATATTATCATAGCTTTTTTTCTGTGGTACATTCTTGCAGTTCTCGTGCTCTTTGGTGTTCTTCCTGCTGCCATGTCTTGGTCGGAGAGATACTCGGATGCCTCACAATCTCCAGAGCTTCCGCCATTGGTTCCTGGTGGTAAACTGACTCTGTCAATAGTCATGGGAGGTGCCTTGCTTGTTATTTTCTCTGAATTGTTCGAGAATATTCCGCAGCTGTGAATAGCTAATGCTGTTGAAGGTTTTGTATAGACTGAAACTACATTATAATATAAAAAAAATTGTAGAAATGAACTTTTTGCTTTACTCTATTATGTTAGAAGAATCCTTTTGACCGTTTGGTTTACAGGAGTTCAGAGTTTCATATCGCGTTCAAAATTTTACAGAAGTTGAGAGTTTCATATTGCGCTCAATTTTGAATAAAAAAGAACAATATGTGAGATATGGATTGAATTAAAATTCTGTTTCCTGTGAAATGGCGAGCATCACTCTATTTCACAGTGATGATTTCCTCTATTCTGGCATGGAAGATACACGTATATAGAATGTAGTTAAAGGCAGGCTCTGTCATCGAGTAGTGCACAATGATAGTCATCTGCAAACTACAAGATCCAAAATATAAGCTTCTCTAGTAAAGTTCCTTTTTCCCATCAAACAAAATTCAACCATGTCAATGTTCAACAGAACGGTGAAAGTCAATCTAAACTGTACTAGCAAATTGATACAGATAAATGCTCAGCGAAAATGACCTGTACGTGGGTCGTCAAGCGAGCACGAAAATTAAAATCAACACACAAAGCAGCAGCATGAAAATTAAAATCAACACACTAAGCAGCAGCACGAAAATTAGAAATCAACACAAAAAGCAGCAGCACGAAAATTAAAATCAACACACAAAGCAGCAGCACGAAAATTAGAAATCAACACACAAAGCAGCAGCACCGTGTTCGATGAAACAAAATAGTTGAGGGAGGAGGCACCACCCTTATTGTGGGTGATAATAAACATTTTCTTGTATAATCTTTGATTTCACAGAATAATACATAAGAAACAACGAGGAGAGATGCATGTTAACAACAAGGGGCCTGCCACCTCTGTGGCTTTGACCTCAAAACACATGCTGGCAACAACATTGTATCCATATTTACATATGTTATAGTTACCACCTTAACTCGGGACGCGCTGTTCTTTTTAACGGGCATCACTCGTAAACTTTCTTGAGTTATCTTAATACAACACTGCGAATAAGGGGGGACATGTGCTTTTCCTTCAGAGCTGACTCAGCTTTTTTGAGTTCAGAAAACAAAATGTTTCCTCTTTTTCCTGTTAATCAAAAATGTGCTAGCAAATATAGGGTGGCAACAAAGACCCAAGAAACAGCAAAGGGCTGACCAGCCATGGAAGCTGCAAGGAAAACATTAAACCAAGTTGAGCTCAGCAATCCAATGAAATACATATATAATAGAAAAAGAAGACTTAGAATAAATTGTTCTTTTCTCCAGTAGATACATAGGTACAGTCTACGTTACCGTGTTGAAAAAGCATCTTGACAACTTAAAAGAGGTTTACTAATTACATAAAAGCATACACATCAATGCGCAAACTAAGCAGGATACAGTCAATATGCAAAAGATCTGTTTTATGCAAATACCAACACTAAAATAATACACGAAGAAGAGGAGTACTGGCTTAACTTAATATGCCCAATACTAGCAAGTATCAATATACAAATCTCCCCTAAACTCTTAATCTTCATTAGTGACACACTTATGAACTGATTTACATTTAATAGTCTCATTTTCATATTACCTGATTGATTGAAATTGATGGATTACTTGGTTGCATTGATTCCAAGTTGTAAGTTCTCATTAGATATCATATTCTTAAATGCTACACACCCAATGATATGGTTTCTATAGAGGTTTTTATTAGCGTGCTCAGGTATGGATGTTATTGAACTTATTTGACTATCCTTATTTTATAGCACTTAAGCACACACATATTCCTTAGAAGAAAGACGATCACCACTGCTTACAAAATTCACCCTCAATTCATTTAATTTAATCCTTGAGCATTTGTTTCCTGGTTTCCAAAAGAGGCATTAAATTTTTTACATTATTTTCCACGAAATAAGCCTAATGTGAAAATTTAATCTATCACCATTAGATCAGATACTAGAAGAATGGTAGAGACAGAAGTTATCTAGTGAAGCACGTTATACTGTGGATATGTTTATCATGGAACGTGCATCTGCACATTCAATTGCAAATGCACTCAAGGATGGCAGGAAACTTTTAAAATTTGTAATAGAAGTTTGATTACCAAGCTTGAAGCTACTACACTAATAAATTAAGTTTTATCCTCATATTTACCAACCAACTTTATATCCCATGAGTGGACTGCAAAATATCTTTTGAGCAAGATGTCAAACCATTAGATCAAGGAAAGGAATAAAGAGACAAAAAAAATTGCCTACTTGGTAAAGTTTCCAGTATTGCATTTATCCGTCAAATATTAGTCATTGACTTTTTTATTACTACTGCTTGATATAAAATAACCCTTAAAATAAAAGATTTAGTAAAATAAATACTCACACGAAGATGGAGAAGGTGAAAAGGCCGGAAGTTTGTCAGGAGGCTTAGTCTCCGTTGCACTCTTACTTGGAGCTCGTGCATGAGCAAGAACAAAGTGCGGCAAAGGTGTGTGGAACGAGTGAGGTGCTGGAGTTGGTGTATCTTCAACCGGAGAAGGAGCAGATGGGTCTTCAACTGGAGGAAGTGCAGGTGGATATTCATTTGCAGCTGGGGTCAGTGAGCTCTTCGGAGAATCCACAGGTGCAGCAGCAGGAACTATGTGAGAGTTGCACTTGGGTTTGTTTGGAAATGCAGAGTGGCACCCACATGGGGCTGGAGATTTGTACATGTGCTGAGGAGTAGGTGCAGGAGCCAGATCCATATTAGAGTGATGGTGGTGATGGCGATGGGGGTAAGGGTGATGATGGTGGTGATGGTCAACTTGAGGTTGAGGAGCGGGGCTAGGTGGTATGGATATGCCATTGCCTCCACCATTGAGAGAATGTTTTAGAGAAGACGAAAGTTGTATTTGCTTTACCCTACCAAACACCGTGTGATTAAGGCCAAGGTTTCCATGATTGCCATCAGATCTAATTGTTTGTGCCAGCTGCCTTAATCGTGGTTCTGAAGGTGGTCTATTCCCAACAGCAAGCACAACAGATGCCTGAACAACTGTTGGAGGAGCAACTGTTGAACCCTTTATATTTGTTAAACTTACATACAGATTCTGCATTTCATGAAAGTTAAATAATTAGTTTACAATTTATAAAAACTTTACTTGTTTTCAGCAAACTCAAGAAAAAAAATCTAATGATTGCAAGGACTCTAAATCCATGGGAGTTAATAGTCATATGTCATGATCTGAACCTAAACTCAATTAGGATACATGTATATTCAACTGAAAATAATGAGGATAACCGCCATCTCTATGCAAGCTTATGGACATCTACCCACTCAGTAATCTACTTCTTTGTAGTTAAGTTGTTTCTTGAATGATTCACATATTACGATGCAGGTTACATTATAAGTGAAAGGCTTCATGGTCATGACAGGCTTCAACATCATGCACATTCACAAGGACACACCAAATGTTGTCTGTGTCTGCCACTTGGACAGGTCACTTGGGCAACTGTCCACTACTCAAAACATTTATCATGACTCATATAAAAAAAGGAATACAGGATATCATTGTAGTAAAGAATGGGTAATATCTACAGCGGCTTTAAAGGGAAAATAAAAAAAAACTCTTATCTAGTGTTACATTATTTCCAGAGTCATCAAAAGCTATGTCCTGTTTGTTAGCTACATGTAACGCCATGAAATAGGAAAACAATAAGTTTTGCTTCTTTTAAGCATGTGATAAATTATACACATTTTATATTATATAGTTTATATCTAATACCTATGTCTGTCTCTTATTTACAAATTATCCTGTCCGAAACCTTAGTGACACTCAAGATACTTGATATCTGCATCTTGTGTCCAGAAAACACTCTTCTTGTGCATGTAACCATTTTGTTGCCAAACCCCCCCCCCCCCCCCCACACACACACACACCACACAAAAAAAAGGAAAAAAAAGAACCCCAAAAAAAACCTGAATAATATAACCAGAACATGTAACATTCATAATGAAAGGAAAGAACACAAAGCAAATTGTTCATGAAAATAATAGAAAACAAACCTCGTATGGATTGAGAAGTAAACCAGATTTCATCTGAGCCTTCAGCTCAGCTAAGTTTTCTTGCACTTTCTCGATGGAGAAGTTTAAGGTGAAATTAAAAAGTGCACCCGCCTTCTGCAAAAGAAAGGCCCTTTGTTCGGGAGTAATTGTAATTCCTCCAGGGAATTTCAGCACCTGAAAGAAATATGTTTTCCCGAACAAGGATGTGGTCAAATGGAGGCTTGACCGTCCTATAACAAAGGTCATAAAGTTATCCCTGATAATGCTCAGCCCAGTTGAAGATATAGCAGTATTAATTGGATAAGGCCAGATTCCAAACACCACATTTGTCCAGTTTAATCCAACTAATGGTTCCAGAGAAATAACGGTGACCTGATTGAGTCAAGATAATAAGTTAGAGCATGTTGACGTTACATATGCAAATAGAGTACCAGGTATGAGGCTTTCCTCACCAAGGAATTCTGAATGCCAATTTCTTCAAAGATATCATATTGAAGCTTCATAATATTTGCATTCAGCAAGGAGATGGACTTCCGCACTCTGAAACTCGCCACGATGTAGGCTGGAAAATTTTTCTTCAGGATGAAAAAACAGTGTAGTAATATAAAATTCAAACTGGTATTTGTAGTATTGAATCATTCTGATGTTCATTCAGTTACAGTTATAGTTACAGACAAATGCAAATAAAGCAAGCATAAAAGAAAAGATTGACACGAAGATGAATTCAAGGTGAAGATGATTGTATTAAACAGTGACTTTCAGCAAATCAAGGGAAACAAAGTTGTCCTTTAACTTTATACATTATCACCTTAATGCCCTGTGACTTCTCCGGCAGAATGGGACATTTGAGCTTAATATTCTAACATTTGTCTGTAATTCATATTACATTGTGTGTGCGTATAAAAAGGATAGTTGAATTTGATGAAGGGAAGGTACACAAAATTTCAAGCCAAATGTTAAAAAGTTCATAAACGAAAAAAACAGTGATTGCATGTCACAAAGAAGTAGCCTTGCAGAATGCTAGAACCATACAACATGCAGCCCAGGTGTATACAAGATGACAAAAGGAACAAACCAGCAATATAGAACAAATGTTTGCAATTTATACCAACATAAAATGCTTAGATACTACAATCTGTTGCTCACCCTTCGCCCAGTCGTAAAGAATGAAGGAAGACTGGTTGTTCATGTTGTATGAGTAACAAACAGTACTACAAAATATTTTATTACCATGTTCTTGGTCTCTTATGACATAAGGAGAATGTTACTGCAATCTTTAAGGAGACTAAAACCCCCAGAGAAAGGAAAAGATGTGAAAAACATGGTCTAGGGGTGCAAGAAGTAAAAAATTTCCAAGAAAACCAGGCCGCACCCCAGGAAACCAATATCCATAAGATAGATTCCTAAGTGAAGGGATAGGTAACAAAAAAGAGCGTTGGACGTCACAATGATGACAAATGTCACAACAAAACATTGGAAATCACAATCACCACGTAACAATTGTCGCAACAAAAACAAGACCTTAGTATACATACAAGACCAAAGCACTGACAACGGACGAGGCCATTGCGTTTTATATGCATAGAAATGTTGCCAAAGAGTTGTTTTGGGCTATTGATGACATCAAGGTGTGGATGCTATCAATCTAAATATTAAAAGAAAATCAATATACACCTCCCAGATTATAGCTATTTTAAGTTTATCCCAGAATCATTGTCATAGCTATTTTCACACCCAATTTTCTTCCTTCAATTTTACTCGCAAAAATTGGGAATCTATATAGAGTATTCCATCACACTATATTTTAATACACTTTAATGATTTCATAAATTACCGAGTTATATATAATTAACTTAATTAAGATTTAAAACCCACCATCCTCTTTGTAGACATCCACCTGCCCCCATTCTCCGCTCCCACCCCTAATGTACACACCCCAGATCCTCCTCACTACGTCGGTTGATCTCACATACAGCTTAGTAATAGAATTTTTTATTGAGGATATGTGTTCTCCGCATGCATCCAGTGGGATGTTGATCAAGTTTATACAAATTTTTAACCAGTGATTTGCATATACTTAATACATGGCTAAAATACATCCAAATTAATTAGGTTCTACTTACTTAATATTTGTTAAACTGCACTATTGGTACGAATTTCCATTTGGGAGATCAATATCTAAGCATGGAGTTATAGCTTGCAATTAATGGTATAGCACAATTAAATTTTCATTCAGGATTTGTTTTATCCTGGAATTAATTAGTCTTGGAGGCTTGTGATGGGTAGCTATTCCAGTGGGAGCGCTCGGGATGCCATACCAATTTCATGAGAAACGACATACCCTAATAATATTGACAAGATTAACATAGGATAATAAAAAATTATGATATTTCTTGTTTAGGTTTGTTATGCTGTATGTTCAGACAAATACCTAAACATAAACAAATCATTTCAAGTGGAAGATTTTGGGTAGAACGACACTATGATTTAACTACCTAATCTAGTCCATTCTCTAAGAAATCTTATATTCCATTTTCAAAAAAATTATAATTGTTTTAAAAATTATATCTTTGAACAATGTAGTTGGGGCCCTAGGCTTTCTTCTCTCTGTTTGGGATGTAATTTTATTATTCGAATAAAATGCTTGAAGAGAATGTTCTTTCGGGAAGAACAATACTCTTCGTAAAGTGCCTATAATCTTAACATATCCATAATTTAAGTGTCTTAGTCCTTCTTTTAAAGATGTACCAACATAATTTTTTTCAACTTCAATCTGGGACTGATTAATTGTAGATATTTCTATCGGAAGATCAATTTTCTCTTGCGAGCAGGAGATTTTGACGAATACTGAGACGGTAATGTCCGAGTTGGAACAGGGTTCAACTCAAACTCAAAGATGTGATACCTATCAATACAAGGTATGGAAATTGAGAGATCGTTCAAATGGTTCACTGGGTGGACTACAATGAGGAGTGATCTCATCAGGGAATTTGAGGATTTTTTTTCGAAAACAAAGAGCTTCGAGGATGATCTTAATGCAAGATTCGAATATGTCTTTCTAATGAGGACCTGAGTTCTTATTCTTAAGTTGGATTCAAATGATATGTCTGCTAGGCATAACATCGAATTCACCTTTGGATAATAACCTTTATGACTAGGGATTGTGCTAGGAGCAGCAGATCCAGGCAGTTATTAGGGCTTTATAAAACTCCTGGAAAGGCATGTATTACTTTTATTGCACGTCGCAAATGTAACAACATCCGGGGATGTGCGAATGAAGGTGAAGTTGGAGTCTAAACACTGGGATGTGTTCAAAGCTAACATGTCTACTTCAGCAGCTAAATATCCAATGCACAAAGATAAAACCTAGTTGTAGCGAGTACGCCGGAAGATTTTAGAATGGATTCTGAAATAAAAGAAGTCAATTGAATGGGTGAAGAAACCAACAAATAAGAGCACGACCAATTATTTTGATTGCAAACAAGTAGATAATTTCGCGCATGAGGGCGCACAACCGAAAAAAAGGGGACTCATTGTCTATATATGCAGTGCAGAGAATTATTTGTTGAGTTCAAAAGATTCCAAATAGGAGTAGCAAGATCTAGTGAAGGAATATGTAATGATGCTGAGCACCGATGCATAAAGATTTTCTAAGTTTAGGAAACAAACAGATCTTGTGATACTCCCAATATAAATAAGGAATCATCTCTGTAGTTAGGCTTATAGGATTCATGATAGTTTCTCATGCGTGGGTGACTTACATAGATTTACTTCTTGTATTCTTTGCTTTGCATAGAACATCAAGCTAATCTCTTAGTTCATTTTAGAATGTGACTAATTATAAAATAAAAGGGTTTATCTTCTACTTTGTCTTGTATTGCGAATTAAGATTAGATCTAATTTATGGTGTTATAAACTAGGTTACATTGGAGGATACGTGTAGGCTCGCCAAGAGTGACCTCCTATGTACATGTACAAAGATGTATCCATCCACCTGCGAGTATAGTATGTTTAGTAAAATGACTAAGAAATATTTTGGCAAGGCCAAGAAAAAATTCGTTGCAATCAGTACACTCTTATATACGCGGAATAATATTCATGAAGGTACAAAGTGGAGCTCTCTAATTCCTCACATTAATAGGCTATTACACTATTTGCGATGATGTGTATTTGATTTTGCGCCTAGTCTAGGGCTTGGATTTATTTCGAGTATTGAATTAGCAAGGTAAAATCAATTAAGCAAAAGTATTAGACCTTTACACACTAGTTGTAAGATACAATAGCTATCTGGCCAGTTCAGGGAACTGTGTTAAAAGAAGAAAATTGATAAATAAATGACAATAACACATATTCTATAACAACATGGTGTTGAGGAAGTAAAGAATATGGCTCTGCTAGATGTAGTTTAGCTACCTATTTAATTTTGGAGAGACGCGCTATTGATAGTAGTATATGTTCTGAACTGTGTACCTTCTAGATCAGTACAATCTACATCCTATGAGCCATGGACAACCGAGGGTCAGTGCTAGATCACTATGTCCATATGGGTGTGTTGTGTTGCTTACACATATAATGCTTCTCATTAGTGTGAGAAGTTAGACTCCAAAGGAAAATAGTGTACGTTTATACACTAATTCCAAAAATGTGTTTACGATTGAGCACCACTACGAGACTGTGACTGAGGGAGTTGTTCTCTCTAGGAGAAAATCATCTTTCACTAAATATTGACTCTTGTAGCAAATATCGATCTTGAACTAGTCTAATGCGCTTAGGGACAACTTTTCTCTAGAAGTGGAATAAAAGATCTATGTGGATCGGCTACAAGGGACTTGAGCACAGGGTGCCCAAATTAAAGAGCTACACCTATTACTTGAAATAATATTCTAGTGTAGTATTTATTCGGTTATATTAGACCATAATGGGCTATGATTTCATAATGATCGATGAAGACAATTGTGTCTACCTACACAGAGATGGTAAGAGTTTAAAATCTTATCGTCAATTGTCAATGTCATATTGCTGACTAGGTGTAGCATGGAGACCACAGGGACTCTAATTACTAAAAGCCAAGCTCTAAGCATAGAACAATGTCTCAATATTAAGGCAGAGAAGTGCATGTTGGTTATTCCTTGCAAGAGTGTAGTTGGCAATCATGTGTGTACAAGACCCGACATATCCTTTGCGGTAGGATTGATGAAAAGGAATCGATCCAGTCCTGATGACTCACTAGGATGAGTCAAGAGAATCCTCAAATTTTTAATTGAGACTGCATTTATACATTGTGCTTTGGCAGAATTGGCACTCACTATGTTATATTAAGATGTCGACTAGGCCGACGATCTGGATAAGCCAGTGTCATCTTCTGGTCATATTCTCTTACTGATTGGCAGGGTCATTTCATGTAGTAAGTAGTATATAGCCTATTTCCACTAGGAGCGAAATATGCGGTGATACACACGATTACACGGGATGCAGTCTGGTTGAGCAGATTCTTAGAGAATTTTGATGTAAATCGACATGCAGAGAATGGTGTAATTCTCTACTATGATAGCATGTCAATTGATGGTTATTTAAC